TCTGGCATTGCTTGCTAGAAATCCTCGGGGAGAAAATCCAATATTTATGTGCTTGATGAGATGAAAAGTTGAAAAATAGTCATATTGCATCACATCTAAAGTCAAATTTAGATGGTGGTAAAAACATGTTTGGCATGTTGCACTGTTGCAGTCTTATCCCAACCATATGGGGCTAGATACACAAATCTTGTTTCTCCATTTTACTTAACCAAGGGCCATAGAAACAAATGATTCAGGATTCATGCTCACAAGGGTTTAGCAAAAGTTTTACATCAGTTTCCAGCTTGGCACAATCCTCATTCTTTATTTGGCCTCGGGACAGTGGTAAAACCGTGCACGACAAGCTTGAAATGCTCTCTCCTTAGAAATTGTGTAGCGAATATCTCATCACTTTTTTAGGTAAAACATAAAAACCTCCCTTGGGTTTTCTGACAATCATATAAACCTCCCCTATGTTTTGACCCTAATAAAACCTCCCTATAGTTTTGAGAAAAAGTACAAATACCTCCCTTCTGTTATCTTTACAGTAATAGATGCATTGAAAATACCAAAATTCCCTTATTTCCATTGACTCCAAGTTTACCCTTTGCTTTTCTGCTATCATTTCCAAGCTCTTTTCTATGTGATGTGGATACAGGTGCAACTTGAGCAGGCCCGACGCAACCCACAATTTTACATGAACCGTGCTTGGATTTTTGGTCCTTGGATTGGGCCTAGGCCCAAAAGTTTGGCCTTTTTAATATTTTGGGCTGGTTGTCCAAACCCGGCCCGAGCTCGGCCCGGTTATCTATATCTATATATTAAAATGAAATGTGCCAAGCTAGCACTTTCCTGCTTTTGGTTATTTTTGAGAAGCACTAATCTTTTTTTCTGGTTGTTTTTTAGAAGCAATTATCTTTTTTTTTGTTGTTTTTAATTTTTCTCATTTTAAAATTGAACAAAATAACTAAAGTGGCCAATAAGCTTTAAGATTTTCATATCCTCTCATAACCATTACCTCCCTCTCCTATTTAATTATCTCATCTCATTAATTACGCCATTAGCTCTCTCCTTCAATAACTCAAGCCATTAATTCTTTCCTCTTCATTATTCCATTAAATTGCCTAAAATTCATTAACTTTATCTATATTTATATCCATTTCAATTTAACTATAATTTTATATACATTAGATATATTTATATTAAATTATAATTATCTATAAAAATAACTACATTAAAATGGATATATTCAATGATATATTATTAGGCAGAATAATCTACTTCGATTTAAAAGATAATTAATTTTAAGTTAATTAATTAAATAATTAATATTTCAGAATAGATATTATTTAATTCACTCGACAAATAAAACTAGTGTTTTAAAAATCAACTTGAAGACTGAATAGTTTTGCCTCTAATTTACAGGTCAACAATTCATCTGTTTAGGTTGGACAAATCAAACCATGACACATCATCCATCTATATATGTTTTATATGATATATTATAATTACATTTTGTGTGTGTATATATTATTTTAGGTTCAATTTGTACTTTTTATTCTAGTTCTTAATTTTTTATAAATAAAAAAAAAATTGAAATTAAATATGAGACCATGAAATGAGTTTTTTTTTTGTATAGTGGGTTGGAAAGATTGTGAAAAGTCACCTAAAAAAAAAAAAAAAAAGATCACCCCAATCAGACAATTGAGCACAAAGTTAAGTCCTCTAGAAGTTTTCAATACATTGTATATTGTATTGTAATCCATGACCCAATGACTAGATCAAAAGGGTCAATGGTTCAACTGCCTAGGTTGAACAGATTTTAACCATATCAACAATTTTTGACAAAATAGTAAGTTTTAGGAAACCCAGAATTAGAAATAGGGCCAAGTGATGGTTCAAATGGTTTAACCGTCTAAGGCAACAACAAGTTGAAAACATTGAATAAAACATCATAAAAATTATAATCCATTTCTATTCCATTTGAAATAATAACAATTAATTAACCATAGTAAAAATAATCTATTAAATTACTTAAATAATATAAAAATCATTAATTGATATTGATAAAAATACTTTTATTAATATAGTAAAAACAAATAAATTAATAAAATGTAATAAGATAAATTAAAAACTAACATCCATTTAAAATTATCTAACAATTATTAGTTTCATAATTGATTTTTACTAACGAACTTAAATTCCATTGAAAAATAAAAAATTAATATAATAAGGATTAATAAAAAGAAAAATTAATAAAATTTTATTAACCTTACATATAGTTTAATTAATTTAAAGTCAACTTTAATTCTATTTAAAAATAGGGAAAATTATAAAAACTTCCTTGGGTTTTCTAACAATCCTATGAACCTCCCCTATATATGTTTTGACCTTAACAAAAATCTCCCATATTGTTTTGAAAAAAGGTGCAAATATTTTCCTTCCGTTAGCATTTGAAATAGAAAATGTTGATGTAATACATTAATTTTCTTTAATTACCAAATTTACCCTTAACCAACATTATTTAGAAATAATTACAAGCCAAAAATATTTTGGTAAAAAAATATTTTTACCTAAATTTAATACAAAAATAATTACAAACGATTAAATTTTAAAAATTAATAAAAAATTTATCATTAAGATACAAAAAAAGATGCAAATTTATCTAGACCATAGGAAATTATCCACTCTCACTAAAGTGCAACTTGAATTGAGATCTAATAAACTAGACATAACTAAAAAAAATGCTTGAATTGAACTTAAATGAGCACTGCTTAGTTGGAAATGTCATAAAGCTCCTTCCTTAATTTTTCTTAATAAAACCCATGCATTGCATAGGTCCTGACTACTATACATGTATATATGCATATATATAGACACATATTTGCATGCATACATACATATACATGTATATCAATAAAATTTGATTTGATTGACCAACCTGAGCCCAGACCAGGCCTAGGCCCAACCTGAGTGCATTAAATTTTAGTGTGGGCTGGACTTGGGTTGGATAGTTTGGGCCTGACCTCGAAATCAGGCTTTAGGCCCAATTCTTAGGCCTGAGTTGAGCTAAAAACCAACCCAACCCACCCAACTTGCACCCCTAGATGTGGATGTCTCCCTTTTCAAGTACTAGTTACCTAGTAAAGATCTTCATGCCCTCATCTTTGTAAGCAATATGAAGTTCTCAAGCATATGATCTTTGTCTCTTCCTTATTATTTTTTCTTCTAATTAGGACCTGATAAACAATGCTTTCCAGACACTGAATAATATCCCTTTCAATCAGTTGATGCCTCCTCCCTACTAAAAGCTGCCATGCAGAATAATCCAGATTTCCTCTTCGGTTTGGATGAGGGATATAATCTAATTTCATCAAAATTGCTGGAAACTACTGTAGAATCAATCCTGTCAGAGATGCCTCCATTGTCCATTCTGGTGACAGTATTCCTTTTGGCAGGCATATTGGCTAGATGGACACATTGCAACTGGGGGGGTTACTCGCCTCTTGTGGTGACAATAAGAGGAATGGAACAACCTGTATCTGATTCCGACTCTATATACTGTGTATCATGCACTGACAGGACGCTCCATAACAGGTCAGATAGGGGTGTACGCAGAAGGTGGGGTTGGAATGGTAAGGCCTTCAGCAATGGTGGATGCAGGGCATGGGCAACAGACCTGTTCACTTGATGGGCTTCGGGCCTGAATTTCTACTGTGTCGGGCACGGGCTTCGGGCTGGGCCCATTCAAGTTTTGGCAAAAGCCAAGCCCAAGCCCAACCCATGAACAGGTCTAATGGGCAAAATGACTTATGATGGTGTGGGGAGGCAAAAGTACTGCTATATAACAAAGCAACCATGTTTAGTGCCCCAATATCAAACACTAACAGCCACGGGAACCAATCTTAGACAAGCAGCCACTGCTACTGTTGCTGCTAGGGCATTGAGTCAAGCAGGTAACTTGGTCCTAAAGTCCCAAGGTGCTCTATTATAGTGTGAATGTGATCTTCAAATATCCTTTTTTTTTAATAATTTTCCCTTGTTTATTTGAGTAATGCTGTTTTTTTGGGGATCAAATAAGATCTTCAGATCTATTTCTCTCTACTTCCACTCAAAACCCAATAACCTCTCCATCAATGATGGTCCTGAAGAAACAGTCAAACTGAGTACCTGACAAATAAATAATTCTGTGGATTTGGGTAGGTTAGAGAAATAGAGGTGCAGCAGGTGATGCTACACAGATTCAGTCAACACAAAAGCATTTAGATGATTGGAAAGAAGCTTCTCAGATTGGCAAATCTGTTGTTAGTGCTGAAGCATTTGGTCAAGGGTAAGCCTGGTACCTAAAAATAAATAAATGTATTATGCCACTGTTTTCCGTCTAAAAAGATAACTGAAGAGACGCCTTTACACCATTTTTTTTTTACTTTTTGTTAAGGGCAAACCACAGGGGAGGTTTCTAAGACTGTCAAAAAAACCAGGGGAGGCGTGTATAATTTTCCCTTTTTTTTTACTGTTTCAGACTGTTGTGAAGTGCTCTTGAGATTAACACATCACTATCAAACAAATACAACTTTATTATTGGACTCTCAAAACCCTTCTTGCTATCAAAGCCTATAGAACCCTTCAAGAAGAAACTACCCACTCAATTAGGCTCTCTATCCTAGAGAAATCTGTCTAGGTCAACCGTCAAAAAAATGTTCTTCCACATTTGCATTCTTCTACTAGTTTTCTACAATTTCTAATTTCTTTTTATGATAGGCGACCCTGAGGCTTACAAAAAGACAATTCTGAGAGTGTTATCTATACATCATATTCATAAAAAATTATCAACCCCCATATACAATGCTATCCCGATGATGTATAAACATGCTATCCTTAATACCCTCAAAATGATTTATACATCATATCCACAAAAGACAACTCTTGAGAGTGTGATCTATACATCATTATACTAACTTTTTAAGATTCAGGCCAGGGCAAAGAATACATATAGGTGATAGTTTAAACTGCATGCTTACCCCTTCAAGCTCATTCCAGGGAGGTTTTCCATTCAGCATCTCAATAACAGTACAGCCCAAACTCCAAATGTCAATGGAATATGCAAGGTCAAGACTCGTATCTTTCTTTATCATAGCTTGTATAACCTGTAGAGGAGGAAATCAATGTCAGATCAGGGGAACCATGAGCCATATTGCCTATATTTGTGAAGAAGCAGCCACAAAGGATTACCTCTGGGGCCATCCAGTATGGACTTCCCTTCAAAGAGAGATCAGTTGATTGTCCATTAAGCTGAATACAAAAACAAATAAATACTCTTTAAGCCAAATCAATCATCATCATCCAAGCTTTATCCCAACTAGACCTGTTCATGGGCCGGGTGGCCCGACGGGCTAGCCCGGCCCGGCCCGGCCCCCGGAGGAGCTTGAACATGTTTATAGGCCCGCGGGCTTAAACTCAGGCGGCCCGAACCCGGCCCAGCCCGACCTAAAATTAGACTTAAAATGGGTTATGTGATTATGTCCATTTGAATAAATTTTTTTATTTAAGAATGTAAAACTGTGTTTTAAAACGTAAAAAAAAAGGGAAAAAAACCATCTTATAGGCCTATTGTTCATTTAAATAGGAAAAAAACCATTTGAATTTTTAATTCTAATTTGAATAGCGAAAATTGTAATTTTTTTTATTAGGTCGGGCTTCGGGCTCGGGCTCGGGCTTCGGGCTTTTTATCAGGGCCAGGCTCGGGCCCAAGTTATAGGCCCGTTGGTCGGGCTGGGCTCGGGCTCGAGCCTAGCGTATTTCCATTAATGATGAGTAAAAGCCCGGCCCGAGCCCAGCCCGCCCGGCCCATGAACAAGTCTAATCCCAACATATGGGGTCAGCTACAAGGATCCTGTTTTGCCGTATTCATTGTTGAATTATTGGTGCTAAAATCATTTCTTACTTCTACCCATGTCCTTTTTGGTCTACCCCCTAGCCCTTCTAGCCCCTTCAACTTGCAACCAACCACTTTTTCATACAGGTGTTATTGATGATCTTCTATGCACATGACTAAACCATCTTAGTCTACTTTCTCTCATTTTATCACCTATTGGAAAAGAAGGCAATATATTAAATATAAGAATATGAATCAGTAGATGTTTGCTGAATTCAAAACTCACATGTTTTGCCATCCCAAAGTCAGCAAGCTTGACAACACCAGATGCATCAACAAGCATATTTGCCCCCTTGATATCCCTATAATATAGTGATAAAATTTTGCATATCAGACGATGCCCAACAAAGAAAGCATTATAAAAAACATCAAACTCATAAAACAACAGAACAAGAAATATCATAAAATTTTTGTTCTAACAGCATGTTACAACAATAGGGATTCTTTTAGTTACAACATGAGCATAGTACATCTAACACTACATCTTAGTAACATGGGAAATTGAATATTAACATAGAAAAAATGGTAGCACAAGCATGTTATTTACTTAACTTTTTATATAGACCTGCAATTGTATTTTTACATGTAGAAGCCAGAAAACAAGTAACATGAAAAACTATTTTCTTCGTTTTTTTATCAAGCAACACTGAGAACTGTTTAAAGCTTTCTTGTTGAAAAAGGGGAAATAGAAGCTAGTTAGATAATTGGGACTTATTACAAAAGAAAACAAGAACCATGAAACAAACAATCAGCAGAAAACACAAATTTTCTATCTTTTATGGATCATCCTGTGGGAATTTTGGAATAAACTGGTCTCTGATGAGGCTTCAAGAACCTGCTTGGGTTTTTTTTCATGGGTTGATTGAGAATTTATTTAGTTTTTCCCTTATTTTTTTCAGGGAGAAGAAGAATCAAAGACCAAGATCACTTTCCAATCTGATTTGAAGTATTTTCTTTTATTTTTCTTCTCTTCTTTTTTTTCTTTTACTTTTCAGTTTGGAATTCAAAAAAAAAAAAAACAGAACTATTTTAAAAGTATATACTTTTCAATAGAAATATCAACAAGTCAATGTTTTCTCATCTTGCCAAGACTCTTTGACATGCATTGGATTCCAATTCCTGTGTTCAAGTCCATGCAACACTGGTTTTCAACCCCCATATTCCATATATTTGCTTAGTAGAATAAGAAGAAACCTCCTTTTATTTCTCTTCTGATCAAAACCATTGATCATTGGAAAAATCCCTTCCATAAGGATACGGGGCCACACCAAAACAGTACGACTCCACTGAGAAAAGAAAAAATGAGACAACTTTGAGAAAAGAACTCGGAACTTGTCAGAACACTCCTTGTTCTTCTTCTCCAGTCCAGCTCCAAGCCTATCAGCGATTGCATCTCCAATGAAATTTTTCTGTCGTCTCTGGCAACGGTAAGACTAAACCAACATTATACTCTCTACACTTTCGTTTTTGCCTTTTTTCAGTTTTTGGTATTTTCTTTCTTCTTCCCCACTCCAGCGTCTACCATCAACCATCAGATTTTTTTATCGTTATTTTCTATGGTCCCCGGTGATAGTACAACCAGACAACATTCTCTACAAGCATACCTCCTTGTCCCTTTTTAGTTTTTCTTTTATCATTCTAACATAACAGCAAAACCTGGGTGTTCTTGGCCTAGATGCCATTACTTGGGTTTGGTGAACAACGATTTCCTCTTCAGATGAACTAAAATCCATGGGGGATATTGTAGACTTAATTTCTTTTCATCCTTTTTTTATTAATTTTTTTGCAGGTCACTTTGCAAATGAAACCAGATTTAAGGTTTTCTCCTGCTTTTTTTTCCTTCTTTACTCATTTTGTTTTTCCCTCTTCATTATTGTATTTTATTTTGATAAAACAAAAATACATAGATGATGCATACAATTGCTGATTCAGATCCATATATGTAGCTGCGTATCGTTTACTTTTATTTGCATTCTTTTATTTTATTTTTACTAGAATACCACACAAGTGATTTGATTTTCTACATTAATTTGCTTGCTTAATCCTCTAATTCATTGTTACGATAAAGTGAAGTATGTGGTTTTACTTTTATCTCTTAGTCCTTGTTTCCTGAATATAATCCAAAAAATAAAAGAAAAGAAAAGAAATCATCCACTAATCTGAACTTTTTGTTCCATTAGATCCCTAGGTATAGAACCTCTGTTTTGCAGAGATTTTTTTATAAGCTATTTTATAGAGAAAATCAAAGAACCAGCATCTACTTTTCACATAAAATGAGATTTCTTACTCAGTTTTCTTCACCATCTTCTATATTCTGTTTTACTTATATGCTCCCTCTCTGCTTTGGTTTCAGGTTTAAAGAATTATAGGGGACTGTTGAAATTGGATATATTGTGATCTTTTTGTTTTTCCTCATTTGTTGTTTCAAACAAATGAAATAAAAAGAGCAATAAGAGGAAATTAGAATGAAAAATGTTCATGAAATCTGAAACTGTGTGTGCAAAGAATTGGCTAAAATTGGACCCAAAATTGTAGAACCAGTCCAGGCTATTAAGTACTGGCTACTTGACTTGATTATTCAACCTTGTTTTAAAAATTTAGTCTAGGTTGCAACCACAAATCAGGTTATCTAGGAGAGGATATATAGCCAGAAACTTGCATTTAATAGTTAAAAAAGTTATTTTCGTTCTTTCACACAACAGTTTGCATCTACTGACAGTAGATCTTGTGAAGACATTTTTCCCTTTTATGATCCATGACAGGTCAAGACAGAGTATGGAAGCCCATCCTTCCATTTGTTAATTTTAAATATCATACTTATATCTTGATGGTTCAAAAAAAAGGCACTGTTAACAACAACCATGTCTTAAAATGTACGAGACACATGCCAAATATAATTGCCATGTGGCAAAATTTTGACATGTATCATCTTAAAATTGCCATGTGTCTTCAGCATTTCGCATCATCGCACAAAAAGTTTAAGATAAATATATATGTGGAGAAAACATATAGAACATGTGCTAATTAATGTTGCCATGTGGCAACTTTTATGCCACATGTCATTTTTAAATTGCTACATTTGCTCTGAACTATGTCACATCATCATATGAACAAGTTGCACTTTTCATGTATAAATGGATTGACAATAAGGCTAATTGTAGATCATCATAAATTTTCTCACAAAATAAACACAGGATAACTAGTTGAGAAAATAAATATTCCTTTTCCCATCGCTCCCTTTCTCAGCAATCAAACAAACCCTTAGTGGTCATAACAAGAATTTAAGTTTTGATTTTCAGCTATGTTTTGACCTGGGTCAAAATGGAATTTTTTTTCCAAATTCCAGTTAATTTTCAACCTGGGGCTCTCTTGTACTGTTGTATGATTCTTGTTGTGCCCTTTTGTGGCTGTACAGCTGGGGTCCTATACAGCTCCTTCTTTTATGATTGGGGACTTTGGTCCTTTATGTATTGTAATGGTCTTTTGAATTTCAATAACTTTGCCTTCAAAAAAATTCAGGCAACTTGAAATTTCAGGGAAAAAATGTTGTGCTTTTTAATTGCATTTCCATTTCTTACAATTTCTTTTTTTCTATCTTATTTTTCTCCTTTTAAAAGGTTATTTTTAGCAGTAATCCTTTTGAAGTTCAATTTATCTCTTTCTTAGTTGGACAACATCTAATTACCTAAAATTTCTCCCTCTTCCTCTTCTATTTGTACAAGAATTGGAGGATATATGTTTCTATATGGATTTCATTTTGGTCCCTCCTCAAACTAGCACATGTTGAAATTATGACTTTTCTATGGAATTAACCTGGACTTTTAATGACATGTAAGAGCTCCATTCACATTCAAACTTAAGCACGAAAGTACATTTAGACTAGCTGCTTTCCAAGGAAACTGTTGAAGTTTGACCTGCCATAGAATTCTGTCTTGTTCGTTGACTGTAGAGTAAAGTAGACAGCAAGAAGTAGGAGAGGAAAGAAGAAAAGAGAGAAGAGAGAAAGGCTGGTTCGAATTAGGGAAAAAAGTTAATCCCTTGATTCGGCCAGACCT